TTGTCTATGTTCCCCGACCCCCCCACACTGGAAACGGAGGGCAAATGGAGGCCTTCGGGTTGGGTTGGGGTGGTTTGGTAGGTGGTGACTCACGGCGGGATGACAGGCCCCGGGATATACGGTGGGGGTGGCGTCCATCCTCGATGGTGCGTCCGGATGGCCCCTTGGGCGCGTAGCCCGGGGCTCCCCCATTGTCCTGAGCGGCCAGACTTCTCTCGGGTGGAGCTCGGGGATTTGGGGAGGGGGAGTCGCCTGCGGGGGCACATGCCCCCCACTCCCATAGAGAGGCGGGGAGGCCACGCCAGGCGGTGCTGCGGGGAGCAGCCTGGCAGAACACTCCGTGCCCCTTCTTGGCCTCGAAGTACGAGACGCCCATCACGGAGCCGTCGTGCATGCCCTGCAGCGGGAGGGACCGCGCTGCGCCCCCCCCCCCAAGAGGAAAGAGGCCCTCCTCCAGCCGATCTGCCTCGGCGCACTCGGCCTCGGCCCCGAACCTCGCCGTCCCCGTCATGCTCGCCAGCCGCCGCCTCCGCATCCCCCTCTCTCCCGCCGACCTCCTCGCTCCCACTTTCCACCTTCTCGTCCTCCTCATCCTACAGCGACTCCCCCTCCCTTACTGCACTCCTCTTCCCGCCATCCCTCATGACACCTCGTACCCCCGCCATCCCAGACTCCTTCGCCCCCCTCCATCCCCACAACACCTCGCCCCCCCCCTAAATTTCATCCCCACAGCGCATCGTACACAGACACACACACACACACACACGCCATGCTCCCTTTTTTCCACCTCCTCCTCCTCCTCCTCCTCCTCCTCCGCCCCCTCCTCCTCCTCCTCCTCCTCCTCCTCCTCCTCCTCCTCCTCCTCCTCCTCCTCCCTCCTTTCTCTCTGGGGGAAACAGAAGGTACCGGTACCGCTACTCTTCGGACCTCTCCCGGGGTGCGTTCTGACAGAACCCCATTAGCCCTCTGGGCGACAAGTCTAAGGAGGGTCTTCTTCCCCCTCAACCCTTCTTCCCTTCGGGGAGGGGTACCCTCCCCTCCCCTCCCTGAGGTTTCTTGGGAGGGGGACCGACCGACGTGTCAGGGGGTCTATTTTCGGCCCCTGTGAGGGCCAATGTATGACATCCCTCACGAGGATCGTGGCCCCCAAGGGGGGAGGGAAATCGAGGACCCCCCCTCTTTTGACCGACCGCCTCCAAGATGGCCCCAAGAGGCGATCCAGGGCTCCCAAGAGGCTCCCAAGAGGGCTCCAAGAGCGCCCCAAGAGGCCCGAAGAGGGTTCCAAGAGGCACCTGGGAGGCACCCAAGAGCCCCCCGAGCGGCCTCAGAAAGCCCAAGATGACCTCCAAGATGGCTCAGATAGCCCAAGCTGGCTCAAGATGGCTCTCAAGATGCTCAAAGCGGCCCCAAGACCGCTCCAAGACGGCTCGGGATGGCCATGGAGCCTCCCAAGCCTCCCTCGCTGTTTGACTATGCGTGTCTTTTCCTCTCTCCACGCGTCAACTCTCATGGTCATCGTTTCTGGATGGTCTGACCCTGGGTAAGTGACCTTTGGTGCGCGGCTTAACGGGGGACGCGGGGTGGCCAAACCTGGGCGCGCAAGCCGCTGCTACCGCTTCGCGCTCTGCGATCGGGGGAGCCATTTTGGCCCGCACCAAAGGTCACTCCGGCGACATGTCACTCTTGCGTCTAGTCGAAGGATGTGGTGCTCCAGTACGGTGAGAGCAACGCAGCCCCTGCCTCCCCCATTCGGGGCCGGCCACAGGTGCCCCTGGCCCAAGGTGCCCCTACAGGGCAGTTGTTAAGACATTGGATGTTTAAACATATATGATGTTAAATAATGATGATTAACTTATGGAAAAAATGTATGCTTTTCAATACTAAATACTAAGTTCTTGCATTTTTACTCCTAAATCCTTGCGTTTTTTTTATCCTGATAACGCATCGCTGTCTTTCATGCATGTTTAATGCATGATCCGCGCGCGGAGCATGCAGAAAGGAACGGCACTATAGTCCGTCGCTCCATCTGGGGAGCCCCAGGGTGGGCCCCCCTTGGGGCCTCCGCGAGGGGGGCTCGGAAGGCCGCGCTGGGCCTCCTTGGACATCCTGTGGGGGCACCTTTCGGGCGCTGTTAGGCGACGAGCCCAGGGGGGAAATGAGAAGGAGAAGGCCTTCTCAGAAGGCCGCGGGACTTCTTAGAAGTCCGGGGGACTTCTGAGAGGTCTCCTTAGCCTATTTCGAACACAGACTGAACTTCTCAGAAGCCCTCTCAGAAGTCCGGAAACTTCTCAGAAGCCTCGGAAGTCCCGCCCCTTCTCATTTCCCCCCCGCGCCCGCCGCCGAGCTGTTGGTGGTCTCCAAACCAGGTGGTGAGACACCCGGTGGTGACCCCAATTCTTTGGACGCCCGAAATGGGTACCGAACAAATGGGTACAATGCCCAACAGCAAAGGTTGTCCCAAACCGACAGCGGCCGCCGTTGGGCAGGCGGCCCTCTGTCTCAAATGGGCACGGGCCGCGGCGGCGTGGACAGCAAATCCTGTTCAGAATGAACAGGAACTGCAGTTGGGCATAGTACCCATTCTTTCAATACCCATTTTGGGCGTCCAGAAATAGGGCGACGAGATCTATGCATATCCACTGCTCCTGGCCAGGCCAATCCTGGGCCCAGGAGCGGTGTATACGCCCTCCTGGCCTGGCCAGGGAGGCATATACACAGCTCCTGGGCCCAGGATGGGCCTGGCCAGGAGCAGTGTATATGTATAGATCTCGTCGCCCTAAGAAATTCCCCCAAATAATAATTCTCGGTCACCACCGGGTTTGGGGACACGCGGTCGCCACGAGGTGTTGCGTTTCCTGGGCCCGCCAGCGCTCGAAGACCATGACCCAAATCGCCCACAACTCACCACCGGGTGTTCTCACCACCGCGTTTGGGGACCACCAACGTTGGCAGAACTGGGTTTGGTGGAACCTGGTTTGATGATCTGTACCAGGGGCGCCCCCCCGCCCCATTTCCACTAGCCGGAACTGCCGCCACCCGAAAAGCACCAGTTACGGCAAGCCTGGTTTAGTGAATCTGGCCAGTTGAAGGGCCCCCAGGGCCCTTCCACTAACCGGGTCCCCTTACCCGGGGTCCTTGCTATACCCGAACCTTGGGCCAGGGGCACTTCTCCAGCAACACCGTACCCTTTGTGCGTGACCGATCTCTCAAAACGCCGATCCCTTAAAGCGCCGAGGAGCGTACAACCTCTGGATCCTCGGACCCTCTCCCAAGAGAGCCCAGAGTCGAATCGATAGGTCAGGTCGGCGATCAGGAGGAATCGGACCGGCGGAAACGGGCAGCCGAGTCGGGAAGAGCCCAGCAAGGCCTCCAGCGAGACATCGGAATTGAGATCGGAATCCGAAGCCGAACCGCATCGGAATCGGAAGCCCTCGAGCCCGAGCCGAATCGGGGAAGTCGAAACGAACTCTGCAAGAGCGGCCCCAAGGGTAACCGTAGCTCGGGCGTGCCCCCTACAGAGGGGGATTTTGGACGAATCATTAAAGATACTGCAAAGATGGTCAAAGATACGCAAGAATACTAGAAACAACTGTCCCCAGGCTGTATAGTGTTCCCCTTTTTTGAGCCTTCCCCCTGTAGAGTCAAGTCGGGCCTGTCCCCCATACAGGGGGATTTTCGACGAACAATAAAAAATACACCAAACATAACCCAAACATTATCCAAAAATAATCCAAACATAGTCTGGGGACTATGTTTGGAATCTTGTTTGACGTTTTTGGTGTATTTTATATATTTTTCATTGAGAATCCCCCTGTGGCCCGGCGTGCCCGGCGTGCAGCCAAGGCCCAGGCTCTTCTTTAAGCCAACGTTCATGCCCACGCACCGATTGGTGTATGGTTTGTCAGTCAGTCTGACTACCTACCAGACCACCCCAACCCAACCCGAAGACCCGAATTTCGGGTTGGGGGGGGGTATGGGCTCCATATGTGTTTGTTCGATGTTCCCAGACCCCCCCCCACTGGAAATGGAGGGCAAGATGAGGCCTTCGGGTTGGGTTGGGGTGGTTTGGTGGGTGGTGACAGTCAGTGAGAATCCCCCTGCAGGGGGACACGCCCGACTTCACTGCAGAGGGGCAGGACTGCAGGGGTCGGCTGGATGGCGATGGGGGGATCAGGACATGGGGGGATGAGTATCCGGTACCGCTTTGTTGGGGTACAATTTGTACCTTCTCTGCGGGTTGCAAGTGCAAATTGTACCTTCTCCCCCCCGTTAACACCCTCGCACATGTCGCGGACGTTGTCAAAAGTACAATCTGTACCTTGTCTGCGTGGCGCCGGTACAAATATGTACCTTCTCCGTGGGGCGTAGGTACAATTTGTACCTCGGTTGCGCCTCTCTCCCCTCCTGGACTTACCCCCCCATTTAAAGGGAAACTGGGACACACAAATAGAAACACACAAATAGAAGGATTCCCATATTTTTCTCATATTTTCTGGGTTTTCGTCTTCCCGCCAAATTCCCATATTTTCCCATATTTCCCTGGGGATCGACGATTAATTGTGTCTGTGTGTTTTTTCCCCTCCTGACCATTTGCATCCCGCCGAAGGGGAACCTCCCTGCTGCGCGGCCGGTCGGACGCCGCGCGCGGGGGCGACCGCGGCGGCCTCCGCGGGCCTGCAGGCGTGGCCCCCCCGCGCCCCCGGAGCGCCGCGCAGCGGAAGGCCGCTCGTGGCGAGGGGTCGCTGCTGCGCGCGGCCGGCGGAGGTCGATCGGGGCCCTCGAGGAGCACGAGGACGAGACACAAGGAGGAGGAGGAGGAGGAGGAAGAGGAGGAGGAGGAGGAGGAGGGGGAGGAGGAGGAG